AAGTCTGAAGCTGGCCGAGGTTGGTTCCTGAGGTTCAAGGCTCAGATGATGGTTACCATATTTTAGCAATCAAGTATTTTTAATTAAAGCAAACACATTTTTTAAAAAGTTTTTTCTTTATTGATAATAAAGAAAGAGAGGGAGAGGGAGAGAGAGATAGAAACATCCATGAGAGACAACATCGATTGGCCGCCTCCTGCATGCCCCCCACTGGGGATTTGGCCCACAACCTGGGCATGTGCCCTGACCAGGAATCGAACCTGCTACTTTTTGGTGCATGGGTCAACGCTCAACCACTGAGCCACACCAGCTGGGCAGTAAATATATATATATTTTTTTATCCTCACCCGAGGACATTTTTCCATTTTTTGTTCAGATGGAGTGGGAGGGAGAGAGAGGAAGAGAGAGAGAAACATCGACATGAAAGAGACACATAGAGTGGCTACCACCCGCACGACCAACCAGGGCCGGGGACAAATTGCATCCAAGGTACGTGTCCCTAGCGGGAACCAAACCCGGGTCTCTCTGGACTGCAGGCCGACGCTCTAACTGCTGAACCAAACCAGCCAGGGCAGTACAATTTTTAATATATAATGATATTGCACACATAATAGACTACAGTACAGTGTAAACATGACTTTTATATGCTCTGAGAAACAAAACGAAAATGGTGAGACTTGCTTCCTTGTGATATTTGCTTTGCTGGGGTGGTCTGGAGCAGACCTGCGATAGTTCTGAGGTGTGCCTGTAAATCCGAGGCTCCTACCACCTTGCCTTGAGTTCCATGAATTTGCTGGAGTGACTCACGGAATTCAGGGAACCAGCTTACTCACTAGCCCACTGATTTATTATAAAAGATGTTAAAAGACACAAATCAACATCCAGGGGAGAGATTCACGGGGCAGATCTGAACAAAGGAGCTGTGTCCTTGCGGAGTTTGGGGGCCTGGCACGGTGGCATGGAAGCGTCTGGTCACTAACCCAGAAGCTCTCTGAGCCCTGTCTGTTTGGGTTTCCATGCAGACGTCATGACCTAGGCTGGACTGATGAAATCCCTGGCCATGGTGACTGAACTCAGTCCCAACCCCTCTCTCCTCCCATAAAGCCAAGGGATGAGCCTGAAAGTTTCAACCTTCTATTCATGGTTGGTTCCCTTGGCAACCAGCATCCCCATTTTGAGGGGCTTTCCAAAAGTCACCTCATTAACATTAGCTGCGTTGGGATGGAAAGAGTCTTGTTATGAAAAACAATAACCCATTTATGGCTCTGAAGCAATTTCAGGAACTGAGGCAAGACACCAAATAGTGTAACCAAAGATGTTCCTGTTGCACGTATCACTTAGGAAATCCCAAAGGTTTGGGGAGCTGAGAGCCAGGAACCCTGGATAGAAAACCAAAGTATATATTTATTTAAATCACAGTACGGCTCACACCCTGCCCGTTCTGTAATGAAGGCTGCGCACCTTGTTATCTTGATGTCCTGCCAATGCCTCTCCTGGGCTTTTTCACACTTCCTGGATGTTGTCATCCTTCCTGAAGACTTTCATTCTCATCTGTGTTCAGATGACTTCCAAATTTGTATCACTGGCCCATATCCACTACCTCCTGGGCTGTTCTATTGGGCTGTCCCTTGGGAACCTCCATGCACACATCCAAAATTTAACTCGTCACCTTTCCCTAGGCCCGTTTTTCTGCCGTTACCATTCAGCTCAGCATAAAGTCCAGGAGCCATCACAGCCCACACACAATGACTCAGCAAGTCTTGCCAGCCTCTCTCCTCCATGCTCTTGAATCTCCTCTGTCCTCATAGCCCGTCGTGGTTTCTAAACCTGTTATTTCTACAGCCTGGTTGTCCTGCCCCTTGTACCAGCAAAGGGTAACTTTTCTCCAGCTCATATCTGATGAGGTCATTTCTCTGATGAAAATCCATTAGCAGTACCTCTTTTTACCCAAAAGATAAAACCAAGCTTTATTCCTCAAAAATGAAGCACAGAATTACCATATGATTCAGCAATTCCACTGCTGGGCATATACCAAGAAAACACCGAAAGGCGCACGAGCAGGTATTTTTCCACCTGTGTTTGTAGCAGCATTGTTCACAGTGGCCAGAAGGCAGACGCCACCTGAGTGTCCGTGGGTGGATAGGTGAACGTAGCGCAGATGTATGGCGGAACAGTGTTCAGCCTTAAACAGAAGCCAAGTTCTGCAGCACATTCCATATGCGGCACCACAGATGAACTTCGAAGACGTTGTGCGAAGGGACTTAGCCAGTCACACGAGGCCAAATACTGTATGATTCCACTTACACGGGTTCCTACAGCAGTCAAATTCCCGTTTGGCTCCCCACAGCAAGGAGAGTGGTGGCAGCCTGGGGTCGGGGAGGGAGGAATGGGGAGCAGTGCTGAGTGGGCATGACGTTTCAGCTGGGGAGCTGGATGGTGGTGACGGTTGCACAGCAGTGTGAAGGTGCTTAATGCCACCCGACTGTACACTTATAGATGGGTAAATGGTATGTTATGTATACTTACCACAATAAAAATAAAAACAGTCTGGCCAGTGTGGCTCAGTGGTTGAGCGTCGACCCATGCACCAAGAGGTCACCAGTTTGATTCCCGGTCAGGGCACATGCCCAGGTTGTGGGCCAAATCCCCAGTGGGGGGCGTGCAGGAGGCGGCCAATCGATGTTCTCTCTCACTGATGTTTCTATCTCTCTCTCCCTTCCTCTATAAAATCAATAAAGAAAAAAATTAAAAAATAAAAACAAACAACAACCAAGCTCCTCACCATGGCACACAGGTCTTTATTGATTAGCACCCCGCCTGCAGCTCCTACCACACCCCTCACACCTTCCCAACTGCTCTCAGTCCTCAGAACTCAACCTGCTGGGGGCTCACACCCCAGGCCTTGGTACGGTGTTCCTCTCCTGACGGCCTCCTCCCTCCCTTCCCCCACCTCTCCTCGTCCCCACCCCACGCACCTGGCAAGTTCCTTTTCCTGTAAGCCTCAGGTTGCCTGTTTTCAAGGAACCCTTCTAGGGCCCCCCCTTCCCCAGGGGTCCTCAAGCCACCCTGTGCTCCGCTGGCCACACAGTGTACCCTCTGGATTCACCGTGCCAACTGGCTTGTCTTTTGAGAGTAGGACCTCTGTCTCTGTCTCGCTCACCTCCGTACCCCTGTCTCAGTATCTGGCATGGAGTCGTCCATAACTATTTCTTGAATTAGGAAATCAGTCTTTGGCACTAAAAAATAGCCATTTCAATGTATCTTTAAAATTAATTTTTTAATGAAAACAATTTTAAAATATCAGGGCTATAATTTTAAAAGTGTTTTTAAAATATTAAGACATTTAAAAATGTGAAGACTGCATACAGTTTTCTTCACAGACTTCATTATGTTGCTTATGATCTTTGACAAATGAAGTCATCCCCCAAAAATAAGGTTATAGAAGATACAGATTATAATTATAGGGCTACATAATTGATAAAGATAATTGATAAAGATAAATATATTTGTGTAATTGACTCTACAGAGATTCCACCATAATGGAAAACTCCTTAGATTCCTAAAAATAAGAGCTGTATGGGCTGCATTCTTTAAACAGCATTCACTAAAAACAGAATAAAACAATAAAAAGAAAACCTAGAGGAAAGAAAAACAAATAGGATTATACATACAAAATGGAACATTAGAAGCATTGAGAGAAATTTAAAATTATGGTACTATTATGGTGTGCATAGTTGTTACATGCTAATAACAATGAAAATCTTTTGACTGGTTTTCTGAAAAAAAAAAACAACACTAAATTCCAAAACGGACTCAAGAAAAATTAACAAGCTAAACAGACTGCTAATTATGCTAATTATGGAAGAGATAACCCATCCTCATTATGTCCATATTGTTTCACAGTGACTTCTTTTAAACTTGTGATAGACAAATCTATGCTGACATGAAATTCTACTCTAATTTTGTTAAAATAGTAGCTTCCTGGCATATGACCCAGATAGCCCGGGAAAAGGAAAACTATAGATTTCTGTGATCTGCATTCGCCCCGCCCTTCTCGCAGGCCCCGCCCAGTTCTTTTCACCTGTCTCCTGAAGGTCTGCGAAGTCTCAGCTGCTTAGGTTCCCAGGCACCCCGTCCTTCTACGGGTCTTTTAGGAAATGGTGACCCGTGTTCTGAGTCTCTATGATTTCGTCCCTCCCCCTCTCTGACTGTGGCAGGAGGGTACCTGCGGAGTCCATCGGGCTCACGATGGGCTTCCCAGCCTTCTCGCTGCGCCCAGGCTCACGACCACGTGTGCCCCGTCCAGTCGAAGGCTCCGTCCGAGACCCAGACGGCGGGGACAGCGCTGTACAGGGCAGGCTGCTCCCCTGGCGGAGGGAAGCACGGGCGTTAGGACCACGCAAGGCTCGCGGGGCGTTCACCTGGAGGGGCACCGTGACCTCACGCTTCACTGGCTGAGGAAGTGACCTGACGGAGCCTAATGGGACCAGCGAGGAAGCAGAGGGCTGTCACCAGGAGGGGAAGGACGTCGCTGGGAAGGCGCCCTCCCCTTCAGCTGCTCTTCCTCATAAACACGGCTTTGAATTCGCATTTCATCTTGTTAGAACGAGATACATACTTACCGCGAGATGGGAATTGCTGGCTTCTGGGGAGATCATAAAATTTTTAGAGACATATGCATTGTCTGCAGTGTGACACAACTCCCGAACGTACAAGGGGGTGACAGCAGATGGCTGGATGAGCAGGAAAGCCAACTAGCAGGTGGCATATTTTTCTCCAAGAGCCTCCATGGAGGGGGACATGTTACACTCACTGCCTTCCAGTAAGTTCTTGCAAGTTCACAGTATGCTTGGGGCTGAGCATGAGGAAAACTGCTCATCTGATGTCCTGAAAAGCTGGGACAAGTTTCCATAAAAGCTTTAGGGCTTGAGGCGTGTGCCCCAAGCAGAGTTCTCACTCCCACTGGCCTGAGACCCCCTGACCCCTCTCTGTCTCCACAGTTCGACATGCAAAGGATAACTCTGGAAGAGCTGAAGCACATCCTCTACCACGCCTTCCGGGACCACTTGACAATGAAGGACATCGAGAACATCATCATCAACGAGGAGGAGAGCCTGAACGACACTTCGGGGAACTGCCAGACGGAGTTCGAAGGCGGTAGGTAACCCGCTCCCGCTCTCTTCCTGGTCTGGGACAGGCCAACGCCTTCACGTCCTGAGTGTGGAAGGTGCCTTTCCTGTCCCTCGGGCTGGAATGGTCTTGTGCCGAAGCCAAGAATCCAGGACTGAGGTTAACAGATCCTTTTGGCAAAGATGCAATTGGTTTCTTTCCTTTGCTTTTGGTTTTTTTTTCCTATATTTCCCCCAAACTGCATTTTTGCAAAAGCTCCATTGGCCCTGTCCTTCCTCCCCTGACTCTCTCAGGACTGTGACTGGATGTGTGGCTTTACGGTGCCTGCCTTTCCTTAGTGAACTGCACGGGGTGTGGGGGGAGTCTGTTTTGACTGTCAGTGCACCCGGAGCAGGTCCCGTGGCTAACCACGTGACTTGGGCAAGGGGTGTACCTTCTCTGAGTGTGTTTCCTCATCTGTGAACATCAAGATAATTACACCTGCTCCACAGGGTCCTTCGGAATGGATTACCTCTGTGCTCTGCTCCCTGAATGCACTGGCCAAAAACAGCCCTATTCATGCGAGACTCGCATGAGCTTCACAAGTAGTTCCAGAAAAATAGGTTCCCCTGGGGTCAAAAAAAGAGACCCCTGAGAGCCCACTTTTCTTAGACTCGTGAAAGAAAACAAAACAAAACACAGCCTACATCATCCCCCAATCAGAGGAAGATTCCAGGGAAGCTAAATGACCGAACCCCTCCTTCCAACGTTGGAAATCAGAGCTGCGTTAGTAAACAGCTCTGATGTATGGAATTTTAAAAATCACACTAAAGCAGCATTGCAGACTAACAGGCACTTCTTAACTCAGTCAATGCTGCAGTTTCTTAAAGAGGTCACACTATATTTTCCTATTCTTTTTATCCTGAACACAGTCAGAAGTTAACATCTGCAGACTGTAAGGTATGCAATTGTTGATATATACACGTCAATGTATACAACCGGTGAGCTGTCACATGGTCACAATGGCTTGGAGCTGCCACCTTAGAGCCGGCCGGGCCACGGCAGGGAGGCTGCTCGGGGCTGAGCTGGCCCAGGCCCCCGGCGACTCATTCAGACCTGGGCTCCCGTCAGCCCTGTCTGGGCTGCGCCGCAGGGTCAGCGCGGGAGTTAGATGGCATGACAAGAGGAGGCAGGAGACAGCTGATACTCCAAGGTGACAAACGAACTCCAGCCAGGGAAATAGGGCATGGTCAGGACTGGGACAACCCTGAGCAATGCCCCTGGTAAAGGTGTTCAAATTTAAAATTTTCAGAAGTGCTGTGGACAGCCAGTGGAACCCAGCTGTGGTCCAGAAGCTGCCTTATCTCCTTTCTTGCGACCTGGGCCACAGCCTCTAGGACCGTATTTGGAGTTGGAGCCACACAGACCACACAGGGCAGCATGTCACAGCCAACGCCACTTACATCAGGCAGGCACGGAGATTGGGAGGGTGAATGGGGGTGCAGAGGGCAGGGGTTAGACTAAAACTTGGGGGTACAGCAGGCCTGGACTCCCATTTCAGCTCTTTCCTAGCCGACAGACTATGTGCTCAGACAGTGGGAGCATTGGGGGCTCCAGACCCCCACTGTCAGCAACCACTCTTAACAGAGGAGGGAAGAGCACTTTGGGGCATCTCATTTTCCACGAGAGCCTCTGTTTGTGGATCTCTGTTTTGTTCAGAGAAATGTCACAAGTCTTAGTAATTTGAGAAAGGTCAGACTGCACTGGGAAGTAATCTGAAATTTAAGCCGTGTCTTTTTCTTACTCAAAAGTTCATATATTAGTGAAATAAATGACTGACAAAAAGATTTTCAAATAGAAGTCTTACTGGGTCCGCTTTAATGATTCATCCACGCAACATTGGCAACAGAGATCACCTGGGGTAGGTAAATGGTAAGTGCCAGGTACTGTACTACATGCTTTAAAATTCAGGATCTCATTTAATGAAAGAAACATTATTTTGTAATTAGCACCCTGCTTTTTGGAATGACCTCTGTGGCCTTGATTACATAGTCCCTTTTGTATATTTTCATGACAGAGAGTTGGTTTTTCCTTGTTTTGTTTTTTTGTCACCACTATTTGGCCCCGAAAGCAAGCTCATTGGCTTGTATTACATTTAAAGATTTTTTTCAGTCTCGGATATGGTCGAAGTCACAGGTGCGTACACTGAACGCCCTTCTCTCCATGCTCAGGAAAGGGCTTCTCTGATTGTACTGTAGGCAAAGGTGTTAGGAAGAGATGATGCACAGGAGCCAAGTTCCCTAGGAACCCTGGTGCCCAGGGCTGAACACGCCCATCTGAGACCCCGTGGCTGACCTTGACTTCCTCCTTCCTATCTTTCTTGCGCACCTACTGTCCACAACAGGGACCTGTTGGCATTTTGAACATCTCCCTGCTCCTACAGCACAATGTGATGGCACCGTTGCATGGCTCATGCGTCCGACATCTCCTCCCCCTCCTCCCAGCCCTTTGGGCCGTGCTCTCCCGTAAGCTGTCACTCCTTGCTGTCCTTTCTTGCAGTACCCAGTCAGCATGCCCCGTCCAGCTCCTTCAGCCACGCCCTCGCCAACGTCTCCAATCCCTCACCCACCTGTCAGCTCCCACCAAGCCCAGTCTTAGTAAATCCAGCATCTAAATCTGAAGGCATTGGGTGGTTTCTTCCTTCAAGTGATGGCATGTTTTCTCCTCAAATCGAATCTTCTTCATAACCCCACTGACCAAAGAGAGGGAAGGAAGCAGGTAGGATATTCCCCCCAGACTCCAGGGCCCGGTCAGGCCCCCTGGGCTCTTGCTGCTCCCCACCCAGGCCCTTCCTCCCGCTCTCCTTGGAGCTTTGCATATGTCCGTGCTGATGAGCTCACCTACAGAGCTGGTGATTCACGGGCATTGCAAATCCTGGAAATTTAGTGTCAGAGGAAGGAATCAATGACAAACAAAAACCAAAAGGTAAGGAAGGTGGGATTTAAATAAAGCCCACATCCCGAGGCTTGGAGGTCAGCGAAGCTGGAGTAAGGACAGACTCGGGAGTATGGGAAAGGTTTGAAGAGGCCTCTGTGGGTGGCCTGTGTGCACTGGAATCAGTTAGGGATTCTCGGGGGGAGTTCCAAATGCCGTCAGCACTGTCGTATGCCAGTGATTATACTTTTCACTTGTGTAAATCTTGTGTCTGATACTTTTACAAAAGTGTTCCTATTCTGTCCGTTAAGTCAGGAAATGTTGATTATTCCTTCCACTTAAATGGAAGAATAAAGAAAGAAATAGGCCAGAGCACATAGGGTGTGGAGTCCTTGATGGGACAGTTTGGGAGATATTTGTCCCCTTAGTTTTCATTTGGACTTGATTTTGTTTTCTTTTTTTAAAATCCTCACCCAAGGATATTTTTCTATTATCTTCAGATAGAGTGGGAGTAAGGGAGAGAGAGAGAAACATCGACATGAGAGAGACACATTGACTGGTTGCTTCCCGTACAACCCCAACCAGGGCCAGGACAAACCACAACCAAGGTACGTGCCCTTGACTGGAATCGAACCCGCAACTCTTTGGTCCGTGGGCCAACGCTCTAACCACTGAGCCAAACCAGCCAGGGCTCTTTATTTGTTTGATTCTTAGGTCAACACAATACCAAACACACACACCCTTGTCCCCACACCCCCGTCGGCCTCACCTGGACGGCAGGCAGGGCTCTGCAATCCCCTCCTAAGGAGTGGGCAAGGAAGTGGGGAGAAATTCCACGCTCACCTGAGGAAAGCACTCTGCTTCTTCAGGAAACCCTGAACTGGGGCTCACGTCGTGCACAGAACCCATTTTCCTGGCGCCCCCAAAGAAGTCATCTGCGGAAACCCGTATGAAGACAGGGAAGGGACCGGGATTGTCTGACTCCAGGGCTCAGAAGCGACCTTTCTGCATTCACACCTGTTTCCGGAAGGGAGGCCACTCACACTGAGTCAGGCTGGAACGGGGGCCGCCCACGGTGCGGGGAGCTTCGGGCCTGAGGTCATCTAACCCACTGACTTCAGGGGCTCGTGGCCACCCACAGTTAGTAGTCTATTTGAAAATATAGTCCAATGAGAATATTTGGCTCAAAGTAGGAATTTCAGGAAACCCCAATCCCTCAGATCGTTTTTGAATTCCCTCATTAAGATAATTTACACTTGATGGTGTTAGTTGGCAACATTCGTGTTATAATTATTGGGAGGAAATAAATAGGTTCGTACCCACCAAAGTGGGCGAGGTACAAGGTTATGTGACCACCCAAGAGGCCCGTTCACCATCCTGCTACATAGGAGAGTTTGGAGCTGTTTTGCTTCCGTTCAACCACTTGTAATCCCCAGACATTTTGGTTTTTGGAGAGCGTAAACTCGAAAGACAAACTCGTATTTTATTATTTGGTTCGAGTCACTGTCATCTCTGGAATTGAGTGGTCGTGTGGTGGAATTATTGATTTGCCTGTCATTGATCCTCATTGAGGGTTCTTATGACAAATTCAACGATGTACTCAGTTTGGTAGGGCTTGTTGCCAGTGTTTACTGCCTGATCCCTGTTGACACGGTCCAGGAGGAAAGGGCTGGAAGGAAACCGGGCAGCGTGCCTCCCAAGGCTGATCACTCATTAACACTTTCTACCGACCGATCAGCCCAGGCTGAGAGGCAAGTCCTGGGCCCCTGTGATACAGATGAAGAAACGGAGGCTCAGCAAAGCGGACTAATTTGTCCCAAGTCAAACAGCAAGTAAGGACTTGAACCCAGGTCTACCTGACACAGTCCTGCCCGGGCCTCTTCACTTGTTGGGGCCCCCTCCTGGGCGTGGGCGTTCCAGGGCCCCTTACAGGATGGCACTTTGTCGGCCTCGTCCTGCCTCGTTTCCCATCCCATCGTCAATGAAATCCTTACGTTTGCAAGGTGAGTAGAAGCGCAGCGAGAACTGTGTGTGAGCCCTTTCAAGACACACCCCAAGTGTTGTCCCCACACGGAGCACCAGCTGTCCGAGTTTTCTAGGCGTTCTGAGGACAT